GTTAGTGACTTGTTAGTGGGGTATTAAATGTTCTTAAATTAATAAGGTAATGGGGAACAAGAGAGAATGGGGGCTGAAAATAAGGAAAAAGCTTTCCTTAGTGGGTTATAAGTGGAAAAATGCAGATTTTTAGTGGGGGAGGGGGTCGGGAAGTTAAGTGGGAAAGAGATGGCAGGTCTGGATGGCTATATATAAGAGAAGGATTAGGATTGAAGAGAGGATTGATTTTTGGAGAGCTTGGGGGAGTTGAAAAAGAATATCTACTGTTTCATTGCCTCGCTTAGGATCTGAAATAGCTAAAACCTTTCTTCCTTTTACTTCTGCTCTATACTTGGAGTCGTTTGTAGCTGCTGGTTATTTGTTGTTGCACTGCTGTTGCAATTGCTGTTCGTTACTACTGCTGCTGCTGATCCTCTTCTTCCTCTTCTTGTATTGTCAATACCAGGTACATGCTTCGAATTCCCTTGATGTAAGTTCAACCTTGGAGTGAAAAATGTAGTTTTATGCCAGAGTTGAGTTCATTTGAATACTTGTAGTTATAGTTCGCTAAAGGTTGTACTTATTTAGTTTTNTTAACTAGTTGGCTTGTTGACATGATATGTACGGCACGGATTTGAACTAGGACTGTTTATATTACATGAATAATAGACGACTGTATAATTAGGACTATTTATAAGTTGTTTGGGCTGCTTGATTCCGGGACTGTTTGGATTTTGGAATATGATTATGTAATAGTCATATTGGTTTAGTGTTGTTTTGTAGTATAATTTTGAAATAAGAAGCAAGCTGCAAGCTGAAACAGGAAAGTGTTTTTCGAATTCATGCATTTCGCCTGCACTAATAAAATTGAGCTGAAATCAGCAAGTATGGGTTTAAATGTGGTTATTGATTAAGAGTGCATCCGTTATTCATATTTTGTTAAGAATTAAACTTGTATCTATGTATCCTCGTAAAATTCTCTTTTTATATATATATATATATATATATTTTATAATGCGTATATTTATGTAAGTTTTAGACAATATTGTCATTAGTGAGTTTAGAAAAGTTTTAGACAATATTTTGTAATGCGTAAACTTGTATCATTGTAGTTTAGACCAGTAATATGTTTTAGTTGTAATAATAATGTTATGGTACACGTTTTCAATCTGATAGTAATAGACAATGGTCAATAGTTAACACGAGATTGGAAATTAATGGTAATGTGTTATTAAGATAATAATGGTAATCATTGTTAATTAGTTAACTGATTAGGAAAGTTGTGCTTGGATTTGGAGATGAAAGCCGGCTGTCCCACGGGTAGGCCTTGGAGGCCCGATGCGGATTAATTATAATTTTCTTTCTTAAAGGGGAAGTAGCTCTTAAAACAAATTAATTAGGACTTCTTTTTTTACTTTAGAGACAATAAAAATAGCAAATTATAGTTGCTTTAGGCTTGTTTTTTTAAAAAAATAAAAAAGGAGACGAGCCTCACCAAATAAAACGCACAAGCTGCGGGGCCCTCAATAAAGGAATATCATGAATACATAGAATTCGGGATGAGCCGTTTAGCAGATTTCACGGCCTTCCCCAAAGTAATAATGCGTTAGTCACTGTTAGGCGCGCCTTTAATGATTTACTTTCTTAAACTCGGGTGCACATTTATGTGACCCAAATTCAAATCTCAACGGAGTCGAAATGTGTCGATAACCACAGGTACATTGATGTGACGGGGTTCGAGATATGTTTTCACAACGTTGCAATTCTTTGTTAAAATAATAATGATAATAATAAAAACGGTTTAAGTTAAAATTTGCACATAGGTTCATAATTGTATAAAAATCAGATAATTAAGCCGAATATGACAGTTGAGCGACCGTGATAGAACCACGGAACTCAGGAATGCCTAACACCGTCTCCCGGGTTAACAGAATTCCTTATCCAGATTTCTGGTGTGCAGACTATTAAACAGAGTTAATCTTTTCCTCGATTCGGGATCCAATCGGTGACTTGGGACACCATAAATCTCCCAAGTGGCGACTCTGAATTAAATAATAAATCCCGTTTTGATTGTCCTTTAATTGGAAAAACTCCCTTCTGCGCCCCTTTGCGGTGGCGCGGGCGAAAAGGAGGTATGACAAGAACTCGTAAGAACATACTAGGAGAGACACATAAAAATCACAGTAGAAGAAACTAATAAGAAATATAGTAGAAGAAACACACAAAAGAAAAAGAAAATTAGAGAAGCATCTAAGTAACTTAACAAAAATCCTAAATATAAAGGTTTTGAAAGCATAGTTTGTTGAAAGAAATCTCGAGAAACCATTTAAAAGTTTAGGGAAAACACGGATCTAGAACAGATCTAAAGAAATCAGAAGAACCTCAAAAGTTAGGGTTTCAGAAGAAACCAAATGGTGAGAAAGGCTTGGAGAGTCGTTGATCTGAGCAGGAGAAGTCGAGATCAGGCTTGAATAGCCATGGCTTGCCAGAGCAAGGCCGGAGGTGGCCATAGAACTCAAATCAAACAAGCTCTGAGCCAAGCTTCCTCATGGTCAGGCCTTGAAACTTCAGTAACCAAACGTGTAGGAGTTATAGGAGGCCGGTATAGGACTTCTATGGCCTTGGAAGCCATGGATTCCGGTGGTTTTAGGGTGGAAGTGGAGGGAGGCAGCTAGGGTTTCTGAGAGAGAATTTGGGAGAAGGGGAATCCAGGGGCGGCTACCTGTGAGAAATGATTAGGGTTTGGGGGTATTGGGAAATTAAAAAGGAAAGGGTGAGTATGAGCCGTTGATCTAAATGATCAACGGCTGGGATTGAAAGGGGGATCCGGGCGGGGTTATTAAGAGGGTCGTGGGTCGGGTAAATTTAAAATTTGGGTCGGGTAATGGGATCTGAAATTGGGTTCAATTAGGGGTGCCCAATCTGGCCAAAATTGAAATACAAATGGGCTATCATTTAAATAGCCATTTTCTGTTATTTATTTTATAAAAATAGTAAAGTAATTTCTGGAAATAATTTAAAGGTACTAAAATGATTAATAATATATAATTATAAAAGTAAAAATACTGGAGTCAATTTTATAATTATAAACATAATTAAATCTTAAAATAGGCTAATATTGCAATTATATGCAATTTAGCTTTTAAAAATATTAAATAAATTTGTAAAATTATGCAAAAGTTATATTAGCTATATTTTAGTATAAATATGAGAATCTAATAAGTGAATTGCTAAAATGGCAATTTTGAGAATAGTTATTGAGTTTTTCTTGATAAAATAGGGCAATAAATTGATCTTAAAATCTTTAAACATTAATGAAAAATAAGAAAACCCTTGGACATACTTATATATGCATACATATGCTATTTGAAAGGTAATTTGAATATAAAAATATACATGAAAAAATTAGGTATCAACAATATGATCTATTAAAATATTCTAATGGGAGAATATTTTTAGTAACACACATGATAGTTATTTTTTTAGTCGTCTAATAATAATTTTTCGTTAATTTACGCTTTCAAGGTTAATACATGAGAGGATCCCAAATATTTGTATATTTTCTAAAGAAAATTCACTATAAAGTCTTAAAAATATAAATAAAATTTATATATTTATATGTCGGTTTGGTTCGGATTTTTTTACTCAATACCAAACCAAGTCAAACCAAACCTAGTCGGATTTTTTAATCGGTTTGGTTTGGTTTTTCGGTTTGGTGTGGTTTTCCGGTTCGGTTTGAACACCCCTAATTGAAGCTTTAAATTAGATTCGAACCTTGGGAATAAAAAAACTTATTTTTGATAGAGAACGCTCTACTTCCTTAGAGTAGTTAATTATTTGATATGAATCTGGATTAATCGTGTCTACTGAGCTGCGAATATCTAATTGTTAAAATGAGAAAAGAAATTTACACAACACCATTACTAGTATTATTTAAACTTGCACGTCTCCTGGTTTAGAATATTTCACAAAATTCAGTCACCTACTCCACTAAAACTTTGTCTATAAATTCAATCTTCAGAACATTTCCTAAGCATCCGAAATCCAGTGTAAGAGATATAAAGATATACTATCATTTAATTCCTCCAAATGGCTATCTCAAAAATGCAAAAAGTTTCAGCATGTTTGTTCCTCTTATGCATGGTGGTAATTTCATTTTCATCACCCCATGCAGAAGCTGCAATCTCATGCAGCACTGTCTACTCTAACCTAGCTCCATGCCTCAGCTACCTCATAGGAGGTAGCAAACAAGCGGTGCCGGCAGGCTGCTGCAGCGGGATTCAGTCCCTCTACACCGCCGCTAGCACCACCGCGGACCGCCAGAGCATATGTTCCTGCCTGAAAGCAGGGGCAGCAAGTCTTGGCAGCAGTATTGATGCTAATAAAGCTGCTACTCTTCTTAACAAATGTGGTGTCACTGTTCCTTACAAAATTAGCCCAAACATTGACTGCTCTAAAGTCCAGTAAATTCTCAATGTCATTATGGGGTGCTGTATTGTAAAATGTAAGATGTGCTCTCTAGTCTTGAAGAGCAGTACTTTATGATTTGAATAATTTGGCTGAAGTGGCATGCATGTAATTTTATCTATTTGGTGAATATTTATTGTACCGCTTCCTGAAATCATGCTATTTTCTCTCTTTGATTAGTTTCACTCTTATCATATTTTAATTTCTAGTCAGACATTGAGATCTTATAATTGGCGAACTTGTTTGCTGCAAGTAGAAGATTCATATTAAACACAATAAGATCTTAAATAGAAGATTTAAATGTTTAGCAATCTGTAATCATTTAATGCTAATAGATAGAACATGTGAAAATTACGTAATTGATTTTTGAGATGGAGCTTAACACATCGTTTTGCTTGAATCTGACCTGAGAAAATAATTGGCTCGCAGATGAGGGAGAACACATAGTAGATTCTTTCTAATTAAATCGAGTCGCACTCAAAATAAAGATCGCAAATAACTTTTATACGCTTGACAGAGACCTCGAATTTGGTAATTTGGTTGAATACCAGTACCCAAAGACAACCCGACACTTTGATCTATCAAAAACCCAGAAAACAAAAAGATAAAAACCAACTCAAGCGCAACATCACCAGACAGCAACGATTGAAGACAATGTTTTCAAAATCTTGAAGAGACTGTCTGGATTCTACATCTAAAAAGAACAAAAATACAAGGGTTAAATTTTTTTCACTTTCACAAGGGTGTCAAAATGGTCTAGCTAGTGCAATAAAATCGCAGAAATTCTAAGCTGCCTCTCAATCATTAACAGAACTGTTACATGAACAAGTTGTATCTGGTAGCCTTGTATGTTGTCTTGAGTTTCCTGGAAGGCGGCCTGACTTTCTTGAACACCCATGGGAACTTGAATTTAGAGTCGTGGAACTGTTTGGTGCTCTCCCTCTTGCAAAGCTTGGCTGGAATAGTGGCTGTCTTGAGGATCTGGATGCAGTGGTGGCGCACCTTGTGATGAGAAGCCATCTCAGTGTGCATCTGCTCTACAGCACCATTCAAAGTATTATCACGGTACTCCTTGTACACATTGTGATAACCAGTTCTATTTGTTAGAACACGTGCAGCCGTAGCAAGCATATAATTAGGCATGTAAACTAGAAAATGATACAAGAATAGAAATCACCAACCTCTTGAAATCGTTGCACAGGTCCTCCACAGAGCAAGAATCCAGGGCTGCAGTCTTCTGCCATGGTCGTAGTAAGACCTTGGACGAAATTGCTTTGATTGGGCAAGAACAATACAACTCCAAAAACTGAGTTACTGGGCGAAAAATGTCTTATGTAGACTCGTTTTTCAGCCAAAGAGAGCTCCAACGTGTATGATTCTGCTTGTGCAAGTAGAATTCTACTCTAACTCTATAGGATGACTTTTCTCCCAAGTCACTTTTTACCCAAGTCAATCTAGGTTTTTACTAGATATAGCAGGGACCACAGAAATAATTAGAGGCTACCAATTATAGTATTAATTCGAATTTTTGGATGAATTAATTCCTCCTATAATTAATTCCAATTTATTCCACTAAAAAACTGCAATTGAACTCCTCAATATGAATTTCGAAAATTCACTAACACTTATTTTAATTTCCTATGTTAAGGTCACAAATACCAGTTAATTAAATTAAATTACTGACAATTTAATTTAATCAACTAATTAAATTCTTTATAATTCCATTTAAACTATTCCATGTGACGGATACAAAATTCACTGGTTGGGTTTTCACATGAAAACTTATAAGCTGACATAAATGGGTATCATCAAACTCAAAACCGAGTCATGGATTCTATCAATAAATTATTATTTCACAAATACTGTTCTTTATTGTCCAATCTATTATGCATACACTAACTCTGAATAGAGTTGTACCTTTTGATAAATCAAAACAATAAACAAATCACATTGATCATAATAATTATATCAACATTAGGAGTATAAGCTCATTTAATGAATTAGAGAAAATATTTATATATTTCGATATTAAAACATCTTTTTTCTACTTGGTCCGTTTAATATACACTAAGTATTATACAACAAGAAATCGGAGTAGAACGGACTAAGTTGGAGTAGAACGGAATGTACGTCGTTTTTTTGGCATTCGGGATCGTATACTAGCAATATACACTAAATCCGTTTAATATACACTAAGTACCTTTTACAACCAAATCAATCAATAACATATCCAGTACACACATACATAGAGAGAAAGGGAGAGAGTAAGAGCGAGGAGATGAAGAGAACATACTATAATTTGGACTTGGCACAGACCTCAACCACCCAAAGCTTCATGCGGTAGATTTCGGGTGCTCATCCTTCTCCGATGGTAGAGCTCTCCCCACCACCTGGTACTGATGGAACTGCACCAAATGTTATAGTAATAAAACCTGTTCAAGCTTGTCAACAGAAGGGCGATAAAGGGGAGAAAACCATAGTCGAGAAAGCTTACTTTGTAATTCATTACCATTTCACAGTTAGCCACTAATTAGAGATGTCCTTACTCTTTAGCCACTGTTTTAAAATATATTTACTCTTTAGCCAGCGCTTAATAAATTTTTACCCGCCCGAACGAAAATACCCCTATGCTAGACATAGGTGCTGTGTAAATTATTAAGGACATATTGTCCTTAACTTCATGAATGCTGTGTAAATATTAAGGACAAAGTGTCCTGCATTTGCATCTTTCGTTGTTAAACTTTAGGATATCATGTCCTTAACTTCATATGTGTAGTGTAAAATGTTAAGGACATGGCATCCTTAACTTCATGTGTGCAGTGTAAATGTTAAGGACATCATGCCCTTAATATTTACACAACACTCATGAAAAAAGGGTAAAAATATTTTTTAGTATTAATTTTAATAAAGTAATGGCTATTTTTGTTCAGCATTAAAAACACTGAATAAACACTAAATACTATGTTGAAAAGTGGCTAGCCCACGCCATTTCTACATCTGCCGCTCCTGCAAGGTGCTAGTGGACTTGGTTAAGCCGTAGGATGGGCTCCGGTTCATGGTCGGATTATAGAGCCCAATATCTTGGAGATGTGATGCAGCAACTCTTTAAGGTAAAGATTAAGTGGGTTAGCCACTTTCTGAATCGATTTTCAATGTTTAGCCATTATTTGAAATGTAAATGAAAAATAACTACTTGTGGAAATAAAATTTGAGCAAAATACACTAAGCAAGAGGCTCTGAAAATCCACAACACTGTGCTGAAATTTTTCCTTCTTTTAGCTAGGGGTATTACCTTTCAAATTTTAGTTTCGCATAAAATAGTGGTTAATCTTTTTATTAGTTTGAGATTATGGCTAAATGTTAATTAGTGGAATAAAAAGTGGCTATTCGCATATTTCTTCCCTCTTTAAGGGCCTATTGTAGTCCAATTAGGGGTGGCAGATGGGCGCGTTGTGCTGAATTTGAGCGGGCCAAAATGGACTGGAGTAATAGATGGGTCATTATCCAATCTTGTCCAAAGTTAATTGGGCTGAAATAGATTGGAACAAAGCGGACTAAATAATGAGAGAAATTCAAAAATAGCCAGAGTTACAACTGGTCGTTCAAAAATAGCCCAGTTTCAAAAGTAATCGAAATTTAGCCACTTTTCATGTAAAGATAAATCTGAGCGAAAACACTGTTCAAAACCCGGAAAATACGCCAGTATATTATACTGGAGTTCCAAGATAAGTATGCTGGAACTTCAGCATAATATGATGGAGTTCCAGTATGTACACTAGAACTCCAGCATTATATACTGGAGTTCCAGCAAGTATAATTATCCAGTATAATATACTGGAGTTTGGAGCATCGGTGCTCCAGTCTCCAGTATATTATACTGGAGCCAGCAAAGTATACCGGTCCAGCATAATATGCTGGAGTTCATACACAAGTGCACCGAACTCCAGTATATTATGCTGGACCGGTCTCTGTTGCAGCAAAATAGTGGCTATTTTTCATTGACTTCGTAAACGCTGACTATTTTTGAAGGACCAGTCCGAAAACTGGGTATACCGTGCTATTTTTACCTAAATAATGGGTTTAAACCTAACCCGCCCAACATGACCCATTATGTTTATACTGTGAACATGTAACATACCAACAATGTCATGAGAAAATTTTAAGCTAGTGTTCGCACATAGATTTATTTGAAACTTGAAAAAAGAGTTTTTGAAGTTGTGTTGAAAAATAATTTTTGGAAGTTAAAGTTTCGTTTAAACATGCATTTAATTTGAAAAACTTAAAGTTTTGTGAGTGGAAGAAAAAATTTCATCCAAAAACTACCCTAAACCAGTTTTTGGGAATTTGAAAATTTCTTTCAAAATTTTTTCAAAAGCTGATCATATTCTATGAACAAACAGTATTTTCAATTTTTTTTTTAAAAAGTAGCCAAAATCTATGACTAAACAAGAGCTAATTTTTTGTATCTATTCTCTTCTCTTTTGAATTTTCTTTTCATATATTGAGGAATGAGGATGTTGGTCATAGACTCATACCAAATTACAAAACAAATGTAAATTTTTATAAAACTTGTTGATTTGCATGGTATAATCATACGAATATAACTAATTCGATTATTTAGGTCGCAGAAACACTGGTAGCGAAAGATAGAATAGATAATTATTTTTTCACCAAAGAAAAAGTAAGTGCCACATTTTGTCATTGTGATTTCTCAAACAAGTTATTTACCCAAATCCCAAACAAAATTTTCATTTCCTTTTCTATTTTGCGTCAAACTAATATTTGTTTTCTAAAAATGAAACTTTTCAGAGATATTATTGTACAAGCAATCATTTGAGATCTATTTTTTCACTTTTGATATTATATTAATTCCTTTTCTATTCTTAAATATTCTAATGAGATGATATGGTCCAAAAATGTGATGTATAAGTTAAACAAAACATAAAAATATAGAAAAGATCAAATGTTTTGACCATATAAAATAATTCTATTTCATCATGTGAATAATTTATTTTGGTAACTCAACTGTAGTTCCATATTAAAAATATTCATAAATATAATTTTGGGTTTAGTTGATCAAAAGTATAATCCATCACTCAACTCATTATCCCAACACATTAAAGAAAAATTAAATGGATTAAAATACTACTTCTACTAATTAATGTAAAACTTG